CATTTGAACGTCTTAAACCAGGGTACAGCTGTTAGCTGTACATATCCATATTCCAAAATACATCTTATTTTCATGTAACAGGTCTTAGGAAGCATCATCTGTCCTCTACAAAAATGGATGTAGTATTTTGCGAGGGAAAAACACAACTTTGACAGTCAGTATCTTACAAGAATATAAAGGCACATTTGTAACACCTTCTAAGCATTAGAAAAGTAGCTCCCTGTCCATGTGCTGCCCCCACCCACCCAATTTCTAAAATGGGATTTAGGAATCAAGCCCTTAAATCTTTACAGACTGGAAAATCAGCAACATCCTGTTGATAAACAAACAGGCCTGACAGCTGCTCATTTTTCTGAAAAGCATTTGTGCTGGGGAAGCAAATCTGGTACCAATGCCTTCTAAATGACCCACAGAAAATGATTCAAGGAAGAATCATTGTTTTTATTTTATTATTATTAGTTGGCAAATAAGCATTACTGGCGGATTTTTTCCTGATGTCACTAGAAAACCTACAAAAATGGGTGTACAAAATTTTTTTTAATTACAAAAAAAAAAATTTCACCTAAGGCTGTGAATAAGGCTAAATAAGTCAAACAAGTAAGGCACTTGAGAAAAGGAAATGGATAGCTTTCATAAACCACTCAATCTCAGAGTTTAAATCCTGCCAGGTCATAAACATAACACTTAATAGTTTAAAATATAAGGATGTTTACCAGAATTTCTAAAGTTTGTTCTTTAAAAGTTCAGAAATTAAATGCCTTTTGTTCCTGCATCAGATCTGATCTGATCTTCCTGATAAGAACCATACCTCTAAGCTCATAATTGATACTCCAGAGAAGACACAGACAGATACATCTGTAAGGTACCTTTATACCTCTAGCAAACCTGGGGGCTCCGGCTAGGCACCTAAATTCTTTGCCCTGCCACTGACTGCCAAGGCACAGACCCCTTAGAGGCTTCCAGATAGCAAGGAGCACTGGCGAAAAGAACACACAGTCCTGAGTTTCCAACCCACCTCTGTGTCTTGCGGGTTGCAGGATCTGACACAGACTCTCTCCTCGACCTGACTCTAGTCAGGCTCTTTGAAGCCCGCTACGCCTCGGCCTTCCGTGCATCCTTGTGGGCCCTGCAGTGCCCAGCTGTAGTAAAAATCTCTCTAAGTCAGTTTATTGAGAATTCCCCATCCTCCACAGGTGATCCAATTCTTCCCCTCCCACCATTCCCCAAGTGATATTTGATCAGGCTGGCCTGCGTTCAGCAAGAATCCTGCTAGGTCTGTTTAACCAGAATCATCCCCTGACTGCTATTTCTGACGTTCCCGCGCAGTAGTTTTCCATCCACAACCCCCACCCCCTCCTTGGCTGTAACTCCCCCCACTGGTCTGTCCGTGCCATACTCAGAATCGAGCCCCATTCTATCCTCAGGTTTCTTTTTCTCTATTAATTATAATAGTTCCTGAATAAAATCTATGTTTACCATTCTAACTTCTGACCTGTTCTGATGTTCTCTGACAGACCACTGTTGCTCGGCCTCTCTAAGCCTCACGAACCTCAACTACAAATGGGAATGAATGTCACTGAGTTGTTGTGAGGATGAGGTTATATAATTATGCAAAGAATCTGTTTAATGTATGACACATACATAGGCACTCAAAAAGTAGTTATTTTCATTTTTTTATTATTTAATATTGATTTTCATATTTTTTTATATACTATCAAACACCAAAGGACATCCAAATCGGAGGATGTTTGCTCTGACAGGAAGTTTGTTAGGGAGGAGGTCATTCCAGGCTCCCTGTCATAACCCAAATCCTTGGACCTCACCCTGACCGACAGGCAGCCTTGAGGTGTAGGCAGCTCCTTTGATGTGGGACAGAATCCTAGGGATGTTGGGAACATCCCTAGTCTGTTGGGAAAATCAATCAATCAATCAAGCTGAGCAAATGCATACCTCATAGCCCAGCAATTCTACTCCCAAGCACACCAACAGCAGTATTCACGGAAAGGCAAGCCTTACCACCTTCACACCAGCACTATTCTGAACAGTGAAAAACTGGAAACTGCCGGAAAGCCTATCAACAGTGCTGGATGCCATCCCATTGAGAACACTCCACAGGACTGAGGACTAACCTGCAACTAACCACACACAACAATAAGGGCAAGTTCCACAAACAAAATGTAAAGTGAAAAAAGCCAGACATGAGAGAGTATATAATTCTAGTCATAACCAGCCTTAGAACAAGCAGGACTGGATGCTGTGATGTGACGCTCAGGTCCCCTGGGGCTAGAAGTGCTGCCAGCACATACACACCCAGCAGCTGTCGCCCTCCTTAGAACTCTCTCTAAAAGAGCCGCAGCCCAAAGGCACACCCCTCCCTTGGGCAGCCAATCATTGGTCAACACAGGGTAGAAACGCCTATTTTCCTGTCTTACTTAGACCGTCTCTGAAGACCTTCCCAGAAAGCCACAAGGGATCAACTAGGCTTCCATAAGACTCTCAGATCGGCTTCTCCCTCTGCCCAGTCCTGCTCCCTTCCTTTCCTTTCCTTTCCTTTCCACAAACATTGACCCCAAACGCCCTCCCTAATAAATTTCCTGAACCCTAATCTTGCTGAATTAAATTAAATTAAATTGAATTTAAATTCAATTAAATTGAGTCTGCTTGCCAGAGTACCCAACAAACTGTATTCATGATGTGAGAGGTGAGGACAGTGAGGACTACAGGTGAGAGGGCAGGGAATCAATAGGAGGGGGAAGAAGAGCATCTGGGGTGCTGTAATAGTCTAAAAAATAACTTTGGGTGCTGGTTGTATGGCTGTGATAGACTGGGAAAAACTCATCATATTGTGTACCTATGAAATGCATGCTTTTTCTGATGTACATTATACTTCAATATGAAGTGAAAAGTAAGACAAAATAGAAAATGATCAGAATGGGACAGAACCTTAGAAAACGTTCAGTCCCACCTCCTGTGCATCCCTTAAATAACCATTTACTGTGCACTTAACACAGTCCGGAGAAGTCTAACCTAAGATCACAACCCATCTGGTGGCAAACCAGGCCCAAACCCATGCCTGGCCTCCTGACGACATCTTCTATTGTTTTTTTTCTTCAGACCATGCTGTCGTGGGCAACAACGGGAGTTGGATGTGAGGCCTCCTGCAACCAGCTTACCAACTAGTCAGCCTTGCACTGCCATGAAGAAGACTCCAAGGGAAGCCAAAACCCAGGCACCCCAAAGGAACCTCTAGGTACCTCTACCTTTGGGTCTTCCTTTAGAAACATACCCTGCTCTGAAATCAGAAGACATGAAAATCTTTCTAAAGTAGACAAACAGCATGCTTGACCCTTTGTGGTGTTCTCTCAAGAAAAGATTTTCATTTTTATTACAACTGGCTGCATTTATTATTTATCTATTCCTCTTATTCCCACTTTTTAGAAAACAGTTTTTAGTTTATGTAGTTAATAAAATGTCCTATCTCTTCCCCCTTTAGATAGAGAATAAGAAACACAAAGAGGACAAAATATGCCCTAAATAGGGAAGGTAAATTCCTTCACTCTCCTATCTGATTCGTAATAACGTTATTGATCACATACCCAATTCTGAGGCTAGACTCACTTGTGTCAGGTCCCCACTGGAAACCATCCTTAATTTTGGGGAACTTCAGACCAAATGTTTCCCTTTAGATAATGACCAAGAGAATGATGGAGACAGCACCAAAGGAGAGGGTGGGAAACTATTGTAACAAAATTGCTGCTTCATTTCCAAAACAATTTTATTCCTCCTTGAGATGTTAAAGCTAAAGGTCATGGTGGTCTCTAGGAAACTCAAAGGTCTATCACTACCCAATTCTTATGAACATTTCATACCAACCAAGAGAGAAGACTATGAGGAGTTTAACCTGCATTAAGTTGGCTGGACCCAAGAGAAGAGTTAAATACATTTTAATCTTTCAGCTTCTTGTGATTATAGTTTTTTGTTTGCCTGTTTTTCTTGGAAAGATGTAACAGAGTATATAACCCCACAACTAAGCTCCAATAAGGTTTTTTAGGCCTGATCCCAATAAATAGCCATACATGCTTGGATTTCCATTTAAGCTTTTCTTTATTTTGTTTTTTGGTTTTGGTTGTTTGTTTGTTTGAGAAAGACATCATAGAATATATACAACAAAATTGTTTAATCCTCTCTAAAAGGGTTTGTCTCCCAGATAAATGTAACTAAGTTCACCTCCCTACAAGGTGGAGCTGGAAGAAAGAGCATACAATAACAACCTGCTTTCCAGTTCTTTATCTTGAACACTCAACAAGAAGCTCACTACAAATTTCCCACAGTGTTTTTTAGGTCATTCATTCAACAAGTATTTTTGAAAGCTTACTATGTCTTGAAGCAAAAACCTAATTAAAGTCCTCTTTATACACAGTTAGGAAACGATCACAAAGTATCCCTTCTGACCACTAAGAAGCACTCTAGAACCTTCTCCCCGCAAATTACAAGAAGCAATTTTAGTTCCTGACTCTATTATGCTCCAGAAAGATGAAGAATTGTCCCCTGAAAATGTTTAAGATACCATCCTTTTATTCCTGCTGAAATACCTTTGGCCCCTCCAAAATTCAGAAGAAGGAAAAATCAGACCAAATCTGTTTCCTGGAAACAGTGACCTAGGACTTTGCTAAAGGGATGAGATCTGTGTTGTCAGCACTGCATCTGTGACGTGGCCAGCAGCTACAAGTGGCACCTGTGTCACACCTTTCCACACTCACCGAGCCCTCTGTCTATAGAGACTTTGCTCCACAACCGGGACCAAGAACTGTAGTAAGAGCAAGAGAAGCACGCCTCTCCCTGCTTATCCTTTCCCAAGAAGGCTGCCTTTGTGGGTAGTACTCCAGGCACATGGAATGTGTGCAAGAGACCTACAGATCAGACAGTCTGTCACTGACACTAGCTGTGTTAATAAGAGCAGTTTCAACACCACCGCAGTGAAAATCTGAAAAGCAGTCTACCTCAGTTGGCCCCGCATACATCATGGGAGACGGAAAGATGGCCACCACCGTTGTTTCGGGGTTCAGGATGCCCTCCTCCAGCACTGCAGCATGCTGCTTCATACGCCACATCAAAGGGACGTCGTCGTCCTTTGTCCAGCCACCGAGAGGGTGAAGGAGAAGGACAGGGCGCCGGTAGCCCCTCTCTAGAAGTTGTTTATGGGTATCCTGCATTAAGAGAGCATGTCCATTGTGCACTGGGTTGCGTAATTGGAATGCAAAGACAGCATCTGAAAAGAGAATTTCCAGAGTTAAGAGTAGCATGTTTCCAACAGATTACTTTGCAAAGGTTAAACAATTCCTGAAGCTTGATGCATAGGATTAAGTAAACATGCATTCTCAGAACCAGAAACTGGTAAGAAAAAAAAAAAAAAAAGGCACCGCTTTGAACATGCCAACATGATCTATACTTCTACTATATTTTTACTTTACAAATCTTACATGCTTAAGAACGTGTAATATAACAGTGATGGGTTTATAACAATTACTTTCTGCATTCATGGGAAACTTAAGAATTTAACTTTAAGAATAGTTAAGAAAGTCAAGACTTTCGGGTCCTAACATCCTGGTTCAGCTGCTTACGTGGATGTAAATTCTGGGTCAATGCCTTAACTACCCATCAGGTTAATCCTTCCATAGGACCTAAGATACTTCTTTATTATTAAAAGAAAACAGTAAGATAAAGAAATATATAATTCAAAAAAGTTACCTGCTATCCAAATATGATCATTTATACTGATTTCCTTGCTTGACTGGAACCCTATCTGGCTTTGTGATGCCAGACTGGGATTTTGGATGATAGTTGAGCAACACCAACATCCCCTACAAGGGCCACTGCTATTGCCCCAAAGATGAAAACTGCTATTTTAATGAGACTGATTAACGCCGTATCTCCAGCTTACAACCCTGGCTTCATTCCTATGTGGGGCCTGCTATTAGACCTTTCTTAGAAGGCATGGTTCTTTGAGGTCATAGAGCAATTTCACAGAGCCAAGTGACAACGCAGGGCGAGGAGCCCTGTGTCACACTGCTTTCACAACACCTGGTCCAGCACGATGCCGTGTTGGTCCAAGCTTGACTCAGAGAGAGGAACATCTTCCCCTTTCCTAGCAATTTTAAGACAAGTAGTACCACATCTTCTCCAATCTTTTCTCCATTGTAACCTTCTTCTATCCCATGACAAAACGCACAGGAGAAAAACTGTGGTACCCTACTTGACCAGGGTTTTTTGGTTGCATTCTCTGATATTCCAAGATTTACAGCATTATGCTTTGAAGTTCCTCAAGTTACCTTTTATACATGAACAAGGCTGGTTTTCATCCAAGAAATAACTTATATGACATAAGGTACAAAGAAGAAAGACTTGATATAGATACATGAGCATTTTTGCTTTTAAAAGATGGGAAGAGGGGTACAGACGTGAAAGTTTTCCTATCCTTCTGAATTCACTTCATATTTTGTTTTCTATGATATGAAAAGATTCCAAAATACCCTTTCTGACCATCAAGTAGAACTCTAGAACTCCTTTCTCCAAGATCAAGAAGCAATTTTACTTTGTGACTCCACTATAATCCAGTTCTTCAAAAAAGAACAGATGAAGAATGACGTTCCTATAACCTTCTCCTGACATTAATATGAATACTAATATTCCTCCACTTAGGGGATTGCTGCCTGAACTTAACCTGCTATATGATGATTCTGGCCTAAATCTCATCACTCCCTCAGCTTAGTTCTCACACCTCCCCTCCCTTCACTTTATGCTGCCCATTCTTTATAAACCACCTTGTTTATAAACAGAGACACTTAATAAGTATTAATGAATCCTCCTCCTGGGTTGATGTGAGTTGCTGCACCGCTGGGAAGGTTTGGGGTGCGAGAGAGGTGGGATGGTCCAGGCTTGCACAATACCATGGGGAAGAAACAAGAAACTGGCCCAGCACAAGCCAGCTGCACCAGGACCAAGCAGGCACCGACACGGTGCAGGCCAACAGGCCGGGGCCTAGCAGAGAGCCCGTCTGATAGGGAGACTGCTTACGTACAGGGAGGTACAGCAAATAGGTAAATATATCAAGGATAACGGGAGCCAGGACTGTTACCACAGGAGAAGGAAGGCATAAACACAGAAAGAAGACAGACTAGAACAGACTATGTGGTATTGGGTTATAATTGAAAATACTATGACCTCATGGTTTTCAGCTACTTAGATGGACGAATACAGAGAGAGATACAAATGTGTGTGAGTTTATGAATATATGTGCAAATGTATATTGCTTAGCTCTGTCCACTGAAATGTCCTATAAGCAACTATGCCGTGGCAATGAGCAACAATAAAGCCCAAATTTTGCATTCTATTTAGAACAGTATTTACCATTCCCCACTTATATAAATCAGGGCTCCCTGGCAAAGTGGCTGACTCTAGGGCTAAGGCAAGGAGAGTACAGCACATCCTCACTTAATGTCGTTAACAGGCTCTTCAACCTTCCACGAAATGACGAATCATGAAACCAATCTTACCACAGGCTAATTGATTTAAGTAAGCATTAAGTTCCTGTGACATCTCATTATTATAATGAAACGACACTGAAGTTGTTTGAAGAGCTGCTGAAACATCTTCTGTATCATAAAGAAAGAAAGTCCTCAAAGAACAATGGGGACACGTGAAAGGGACATGGCAACCCGTCTGGCAAACCCAGAACAAGCTAAACATCAAAGTAAGCAAGAGTAATGGATAGTAACCCGCTGAGCAAAACGGGAATCTGTGAGTCCCTGAAAAATAAAACAGATGAAAATAAACCAATGGGGGAGAAGTGGAAATTCTAACTTATGGTGAAAAGTCAGCTAATAAATGTAAAACGAATGATGGAATTAGAAATTCACCATTTGGCAGTATTTGTAGTGTGCTAAAACTTAACTGTTAGCGAGTACAAAATAATTTGCTACCTTTACAGCAGAAAACCCTGGCAAACACAATCTTAAGTGATAAAAGTTAACTTAAAAAAAGGTTACCCTCATTTATAGTAAGACAAATCAAAACTGTGAGCCACCAAATACAATGCACAGGGAATTCAGCACTGCTTCCTACAGTATTCCCAATCAAATATAAGTAACCTGAGCCAAACTGAGACATTCAACAAAATAAATGACTTACAGCCCTGGCTGGTGTGGCTCAGAGGACTGAGTGCCAGCCTGTGAACCAAGGGTCACCAGTTCAATTCCCAGTCAGGGCACTTTCCTGGGTGTGGGCCAGGTTCCCAGTAGGGGGCTCACACAATACAACCACACATTGATGTTTCTCTTCCTCTCTTGCTCTCTTCCTTCCCCTCTCTAAAAGTAAATAAATAAAATTTTTTGAAGTTTTTTTAAATAAATAAATGACTTATAAAAGACACAACAAAGACGAAGTGACTGTTTCAGACTGAAAGATAATGAGATCCTGAACCAGAAAGGAAAGGTGGCTAAGAGAAGACTTTATTATTGTTGTGGGTTTTGCTATAAAGAACATTATTAGGACAATGGCATAATTTGAGTGAAATATACAGATTTAATAGCACATCAATATTATTTTCCTGAGTTTGATGAGCATAGTGTGGTTAAAGAGAAGACTATCCTTATTTTTGAGAAATATTAAGGGGTAGTAAAGCATCATGTCTTCAACTTTCAAACAGGCTGAAAAGCAAATAAAGCATAATGTTAATAATCATACCCTGGACGACATGGCTCAGTTGGTTGGGCTCTGTCCTGCAAACCAGAAAGTCGCCAGTTCAGTTCCCAATCAGGGCACATGCCTAGGTTGTAGGTTCGGTCCCAGGTCGCAGTGCATACAAGGGAAAACCCATCAATGTTCCCCTCTCCCACCAATGTTTCTCTCCCTCTCTTTCTCCCTCCCTCTCTCTTAAAAAAAAAAAATTATATGCAATCTAGGTTAAGAATGTAAGGGAGTTCTTATTACTGTTCTTGCAATTTTTCTTGAAATTTAAAATTATTTCAAAATAAAAAGTTAAAAGAGTGAAAAATTATGATATAGGAACCAATTATAATGTACAGTTCTTATTTTGATTCTGATTCAAACAAACTAAATAAATGTGACTACCATAAAATTATTAGAAATTTGAACACTGGCTGGTTACTAGATAATACTGAAGAACTATTATTATTACGTAGGTGCATAAGTGGTATCATGGCTGTGCTTTTCTATAAAATCTTTACACTTAAGAAACATGTACTGAAATATTTAGATGAAATGACATGGGCTTTGAGATATACCTCAGAATAACATGCAGGTGGGGTGGGGGTCCAGATGAAACAAGCAGTCACGAGTTGATAATTACTGACTCTGGCATAGAGGTACATAGGGATTCGTTATACTATTATCTCTATTTACAAGTCTGAGTAGTAGATGTTGGAAATTTTCCATAATAACAAGTTTCAAAAGAGGAGACATATGTAGGGTACCAGAAGAAGCTCTGTTTCGAGAAAGAATACTCATGGTTTCATATCACAGGACGACTATGCTAGCCATCTTCATTTTCTCCATCTTTGAAATGGGGATGATACTAAGGTCGCTGTTAGGAAGATAAAATGCTATCAAGTACGCAGCATGGTGAGATGCATGGTACACTCAATAAATTGAAGTTTCTTAAGACAATTCATTCTTTAAACACACATATACCCCCTGCCCCGTAAAAACTCCTAGCAGGAAATTAAACCCACTGTTCCACTGGTGACTCAAGGTCCACTTCAGAACGAACTATACTCATAGCGAGCGTTTCCAAGGTGAGGGTGTGCTAGCTCTGTGCTGGATACACAGCCTGTGTCCCCTTTAATCAGGAACAGGAGTCTATCTTTGAACATGACCCTTGGTTAATACATCTCAGGTGTATCGTGACTACATTCCCAGACTTCAATCAGGTCAAATCTGATTTTGTAAAATCACCATTAAGCAGGATATTTATATGACAGGATGTGCAAAAGGAAACATAAAAAATAAATTCTGTCTTGAATACACGTATTTCACAGATCCTAATAATTTATCTACCTAGGCTTTCTTCCCAAAAAGAATTAATCTAGCTCCACACTGAACATTTAACAGATAAAGTTAAGATGGATGACTTATTAAAAGTTCACCTTAGAAACATATAAAGGATTTTACTGCCAAGATGTCTTCCAGGTAGAATTCTTTCCTTACTATCAGTTGCACTCAAAATTCCAATGACCATTTGATCTGTTTGCC